AGCTAGCCAGCCAGCCAGTTAGCTAGCCAGTTAGATAGTTAGCCAGCTAGCTCGCTAGCTAGCCAGCTACATAGTAAGCCAGCCAGCTAGCTAGCTAGCTAGCTAGCCATCTGGCCGGCGAACTAGCCAGCTAGCTAGCTAAGCAGCCAGCTAGCCAGCTAAGTAGCGAGCTAGCTAGTAGCCAGCTAGCTTGGCCAGCTAGCTAGCCTTCCAGCTAGCTAGCTAGCTAGCCAGCTAGCCATTTGTCTCATGGGTAGCTAGCTAGTAAGCAGTAACACCTCCATGCACTCTTTAATATATATTCTAAAAAGTCGCTCTAAACGGCCCCAGGGGGCCCCTTGGGGCCCCCTGGGGCCCCCTGGGGGCCCCCTAGGGGCCCCCTGGGGGCCCCCTGGGGGCCCCCTGGGGTCTCGGGCCACTGAGCCAAAAGCAGCAAATTTGAGGGCAGCTTATTCTACAGTGGAACCTGTGCAGGTTTCCTTTGGGGGCCCCTCTGGGGGCCCCTCTGGGGGCCCCTCTGGGGGCCCCTCTGGGGGCCCCTCTGGGGCCCCCCCAGGGGCCCTCGTGGAGGGCCCCCTGGGGCCCCCTAGGGGCCCACTTGGGGTCCCATTGGGGCCCCCATTGGGGCCCCCATTGGGGCTTGCTGGGTCGAGGGCTTCTTTGGGCCTCTTGGAGGCCCCTAAGGCTCTTGGGGGCCCCCCGAGGTACCCTTTGGGGTCCCCCCAAGGTACCCTTTGGGGGCCCCCCGAGGTACCCTTTGGGGGTTCCCCGAGGTTCTCTTTGGGGGCCCCCAAAGGGGCCCACTGGGGGCCCCCCGATGTTCTCTTTGGGGGCCCCCAAAGGGGCTCTTTGGGGGCCCCTCGAGGTTCTCTTTGGGGGCCCCCAAAGGGGCCCTCTGGGGGCCCCCAAAGGGGCCCCAGTGGGTCCTGTGTGCTTCGCAGATTTTGCTGTTCTGTTTTATATAGGTATGGGAAATAGGGAGTTTTTATTAGGGGTTTTTTTCTGTTTAGGGTTTAGGGTTTAGGAGGTAGGGTTTAGGGTTTAGGGTTTTTGCGCGGCGAAAAACAAATCGGACGGCGGCTAACGCGAGGGTCTAGCACTGCGTGTGCAGCGAACGTGGCACTGCCAAGGCGGCGTCTTCTTTTAGGGTTTAGGGTTTAGGGTTTAGGGTTTAGGGTTTAGGGTTTGGGGTTTTGTGAGGTCCGGTGGGACTTCTCGTCGGCAGCTGCCCCACATGAGCAGTTGTGAGGGTGAAATTGAATGAATTTGAATTTATTTGAATTAAAAAATAAAATAAAAACAAAATTATTTAATTTAATTTAATTTAATTTAATTCAATTCAATTTAAAGAGCAGGGGGGCCCCTGTGGGCTGGGCAGCACCGGAGCTGCTGCAGCGCCGCGCAGAAGCTGTTTTCGGCTGCGGCTGCAGCACACACTGGGAAAAAGTTGCTGAAATGAACAATTTGTGAAATAAAACGAAATTAAAATTAAAAAAGAACCATTTAAACGAAAAAATAAAAGAAAATGCCGCTAGAAATGGGCGCCAGCGCCCCCACAACGCAGCAGCAGCAGCAGCAGCAGCAGCAGCAGCAGCAGGCGCAGCCGCGGCTTGCTGCTGTGCAAACTCGGCGTTGCTGGGCTGCTGCTGCTGCTGCTGCTGCTGCTGCTGCTCTTTGTTTACTTTTTCCGCTTTCTTTGCTTCTTATTGTATTTTAATTTAATCCATTTCTTCCAATTTGCTGCTGCTTCCCTCTGGGGCCCCCCGGAGAGCTCACACGGGAGCGCCTACCCACCCCCACGGCTGCCGCCGCTGCTGCTGCTGCTGCTGCTGCTGCTGCTGCTGCTCAGCAGCAGAAACTACGGAAGACACACCAGCAGCTGACTTTCCGTCGCTTTTCCTTTTTTTACGGTAAGAGAAGAACTCTGTTTCTGCTTCGCTGCTGCTGCTGCTGCTGCTGCTGCTGCTGCTGCTGCTGCTTGTGTGCATGCGCTGTGTTGTTTCTTCGCACATCTGATTTCTTTAAATTGTGAAAATAAATAAATTAAAATTCAACTTGCTGCATGCAGAAGCAACAAAATGTGGAATTCCTTCTGCTGCTGCTGGCAGCAGCAGCCTTGCTGCTGCTGCTGCTGCTGCTGCTGCTGCTGCACCCACGCAGCTGATTTCCCCCCAGGTGTCCAAATGTGTTACAAAATGCAGAAATAAAATTCTTTTCATTTTGCTGCTGCTTTCTCTTTTTATTCCAAGTCCACGATTGCATGCACACAAACAAATCCTGCAAATATATTGCTGCTGCTGCTGCTGCAGCGCAGCAGCTGCGTGCCTCCCGCTGCTGCTGCTGCTGCTGCTGCTGCAGCAGCAGCAGCAGCAGCGGGGCCTCTCCCGTGCCGTCTCTCTGCGTGCCTCCCTGGCCGCTGCAGCAGCAGCAAGGCTGCTGCAGCGGCCGCAGCATTCCCCGAGCGCCATCGCCGCCGCTGCTGCCCTGCTGCTGCTGCTGCTGCTGCTGCTGCTGCTGCTGCAGCAGCAAAGAATGCCCGTGGAGCTGGTGGCCCCCGCGCTGCTGGCCAAAGGCGCAGCACTGCCCACTTCCTTCATGGGGGGCCCCGCAAGTGCAGCGCTGGGCGCGGGTTTGGGAGCAGCAACAGGAGCAGCAAGTTTGACTCCCGCGGGCAGTGAGTTTCTAGGGTTTAGGGTTTAGGGTTTAGGGTTTAGGGTTTAGCGTTTGGGGTTTGGGGGGTGCACTTGCCCTGCAGCAGCAGCTCCTCCCCAGCCCCAGCCGCCCCTTCCAACCCCGCCGCTGCGCCCCAAACGCTGCTGCTGCTGCTGCTGCTGCTGCTGCTGCTGCTGCTGCTGCTGCGCAGGCCTTCTGGGCGGCGTGGCCAGCGCTGCAGCAGAAGGGGCCTCGGGGGGCCCCGTAATAGAGCAGTCTCTCTATTTGCTGCCGCTGCTGCCTTCTCTCTTCTTGGGGGCCCCCCTGGGGGCCCCCCTGGGGGCCCCCGGCAGCAGCAAAAGACCCAATCAAAGGACCATTACCCTTTCCACAGCTCGCGAGAGGGGCCTCAAGTACGCAGAGTTCCTCTAAACCCTTTCCCCACAATGGGGGCCCCCAGGGGCCCCGGGGGGCCCCCAGGGGGCCCCTGGGGGCCCCCAGGGGGCCCCTGGGGGCCCCCAGGGGGCCCCGGGGGCTTCGTGGGCTCCCGGGTGGCCCCTGGGGGGCCCCTTGGGTCTTCAGGGGGCCCTCGGGGGGCCCCCTGGGGCCTTTGGGGGGCCCCCAGGGGGCCCCCAGGGGCTGTGAGTTCTCTTAAGGAAAGGGCATTTGAGGCCGACAGGGATAAGGGGGCCCCTCTGAATAAATGGGGGCCCCCAGGGGCCCCCCAGGGGGCTATGGGGCCCCTAGGGGGCCCCTGGGGGCCCCCCTAGGGGGCCCCCTGGGGGCCCCCTGGGGAGTTGGGGGCTTGAGTCTGCTGCAGAATTGGTTGCGGCAAAAGGGAAAGTAAAAAGAAAAGGAGAAATGAATTAAAAGAGTTTCTCCGTTCCGCAGCAGCAGAGCCTGAGGTGTACGTACACCTGAGGGGGGCTCTGCTGCGTCTCTGCGCCTCTGGCTGTGGCTGCTGCTGCGCAGCAGCAGCAGCAGCGGGCTGCAGCAGCAGCAGCAGCAGCAGCAGCAGGGGACGCGGCGCAGCTGCTGCTGCGCCTCTCTTGTCCGTTTCATTTCAATTTGTTCGTCGGGCGCTTTGAGGCCCTTCGCCGCAATTAACTTTCCGTTTTGTTTGGCTTTTCAAACAAACCCCCGCAACAATTCAATAACTCGTTTTGCGCGGAGGAGGCGCAGCAGCAGCAGCAGCAGCAGCTGCTGCTGCTGCTGCTGTTGCGGGCTGAGGCCGTGGAGCTGCTGCTGCAGTGCAGCAGCAGCACCGGGGATGGTTCTGGCTTGGGGGCTGCGGAGGCTCCTAACTCTTGATGTGTATTGTGGAGAGATAATAAAACTAATAAAAATGAATAATTAAACACTTAAATATATTTAATTTGCAGCTACAGGGGCGCCAGCGACAGAGTTTGTCGATTCGCTAACCCGGGGTGTACGTACACCTCAGTGGCGAGAGAACAGCCACCCTCGAAACGCCCGAGTCGGTTCAGAAATGGAGATGTTTTTGAAAAGGAAAAGTTTTGGAAAAGAAATAAATAATTTAAAATTAAAATAAAGTGTTTTCTGAAGTCTGCAAAAGAGCAGTTCGGCGGTTGCAGAACCCCGGCGGTCACCGCTGTCTGTACACCGCAAGCGCAGCTGCGCGAACCGGGAACACGGGACTTTTTGAAGCGATCAGAAGAATTAAAAGATTTAATTTATTATTTTTTCAATTTGCAACACGAAGATCTTTTGTTTCTTCCGTTGGGGGCCCCGGCGCAGTCGCTGCTGCGGTGCTCACTGCGGCTTTCGAAGGCAGAGCCTGCGGCAGCAGCAGCAGCAGCAATGACTGGATCTGCTGCATTTTCGGATGAAATTTGAACATTTTGGATTTAATTTTTAATTATTTTCTCTTTTTTCCACTTTCTGCAAACCCAGAACCACAGGGATGCCTGTCTAGGGCCCCTGCAGCCGTTGGTGGGGCTCTTCTTCACAGCCTGCCGTGGCTGGCTGCGGCTCTCCGCGCCGCGCGGCCCTTCTTTTTACTCAGCAGCAGCAGCAGCAGCAGCAGCAGCAACAGCAGCAGCAGCAGCAGCAGGCAAATGCTGCCTCTCTAAACACACCCTGGACTTGCACAGCTGCCGCCGCCGCGAGAACCCCTGCCAGCCCTCCCCGACCTTGCTGAGTGGTTAACCTGCTGCTGCTGCTGCTGCTGCTGCTGCTGCTGCTGCTGCTGTTTAGTTTGCTTAGGAATGCCAGCTGCTGCGGCTTCCTCCCCTGCGGCGAGATCGTGGGGGCGTGTTCTGGGCGCCTAAGGGGCCGGATCTGCTGCTGCAGCAGCAGCAGCAGCAGCAGCAGCAGCAGCAGCAGCAATGCCGCTGCTGACGTCGCTGGCCTTTGCCCCTGTGCTGCTGAAGACAGGGGGGGCCCTCTTGACCTCCTACGGGCCAGCAGCAACAGCAACAGGGACTGCAGCAGCAGCAGCAACTGTGGGGGGGGGAGCAGCAGCAGCAGGAAGCAAAGTCTTGGGCCTTGCAATGCTCACTAAGGGAGTTTCGAGTGCAGCAAAAAGCGGAAAGCGGCGCTTTTACTAAAGTTGGCGGCGGTGCAGCAGCAAGCCACGGGCTGCTGCAGGGGCCCCCAGCAGCAGCAGCAGCAGCAGCAGCAACAGCAGCAGCAGCGGGGGCGCCTGCAGCAGCTGCTGCGCCGGGCGCCGCTCTTGCGGCCGGAGCGCCGATGACGGCAGCAGCGGCGCTGCCAGCGTCTGCTGCTGCTGCTCCTGCTGCTGCTGCAGTTCCTGCTGCTGCTGCAGTTCCTGCTGCTGCTGCAGTTCCTGCTGCTGCAGCAGCGCCTGCAGCAGCAGCGCCCGCAGCAGCAGCAGCAGCAGCAGCAGGGCACGGGAAGCAGCTGACGATGATAGCGACGGTGGCGGGAGTGATGGCGCTGCGCGCAGCAGCAAACAAGTACTGGCTGCCTGCTGCTGCTGCTGCTGCTGCTGCTGCTGCTCCCCGCAGCAGATTAATCCGCAGAGTGGCCAGGTGGTGCAAAGAAGAACAAATAGCCCTCGAGGCGGAGACGGAGTTCGAGGCGATCCCGCTGCTGCCGTTTGAGGAGGAGGGCCGGCCTGCTGCTGCTGCTGCTGCTGCTGCTGCTGCTGCTGCTGCTGCTGCTGCTGCTGCTGCGGACCGCAGCAGCAGCAGCAGCGCCTCCGCCGCCAGGCTCACGGAAGCGGGACTCACTGACATTGAAACAACTGCTTCCACTTTGGAAAAAAGAAAAAAAAGAAAAGTGACTTATGTCCGGAGGGCGCGGGGCAACTTGCACCGCTTTCTCTGAGGTGTACGTACACCTCAGCGTTCAAGTGTTCAAGTCTCAGGTGTACGTACACCTCAGCTTTCAAATGTTTTCTTTTTCTTTTGTCACTTTTATTTATTTATTTATTTATTTATTTATTTATTTATTTATTTATTTGTTAGTCCAAAAAGCCAGCAGGCTTTGCCGGCTCTTCGCCAACTCTTTGTGGTCTTCCGACTCAGTCTTTCCGCTCAATCCCCTCTTTTGAGGGTTTAGGGTTTAGGGTTTAGGGTTTAGGGTTTGGCGCGCTTTTAGGGCTTAGGGTTTAGGGTTTAGGGTTTGGCGCGCTGCAACGGACTCGACTCTAGCGTTCCATTCAGTCGACTTTACAACTTAATTCCATTCAATTCGCTCTTCCGAGGGTTTAGGGTTTAGGGTTTAGGGTTTGGCGCGCTGCAGAGCAGAAAGGCTTTTAGCCCCAGCCCAAGGCCTTCTCGGGTGTACGTACACCGCAGTTGCTGGCCACAAATGAAGTCAAGTCCAAATTAATTATTTCAAATTCAAATTTAATTCAAAAAACTCCAAAAACTTCAGAAATGGAAAATCCAAAACAACAACTCAAGTCACGTCAGGGACACTCCCACTGCGAAGAACCCCGGGGCCCCCAGGGGGCCCCTGGGGCCCCTCTGCCCCCCTGGGGGCCCCCAGGAGGCCCCCAGGGGGGCCCCTCTGGGGGCCCCCAGGGGGGCCCCCAGAGGGGCCCCCACGGGGTCGGTACCCGGGGGCCCCCAGCCACCTCTGGGGGCCCCCAGGCAGCTCTGTGGGGCCCCTAGGCAGTGTTTTGGGGCCCCCCGGAAATCTTTTGGGGCCCCCAGGCAGCTGTGGGGGCCCCCAGACAACTCCCGGGGGTCCCCAGACAGCACTGGGGCCCCCCAGGCAACTCTGGGGGCCCCTAAGCAACTCTGGAGGATCTCCAAGAAGCTCTGGGGGCCCCCACACGCTCTTGGGGCCCCTAAGCAACTCTGCGGGCCCCCCAGACAGCTCTAAGGGCCCCTAGACAGCTTTGAGGGCCCCCCGTGAGCTGTGGGGGCCCCCCCTGAGCTGTGGGGGCCCCCCGTGAGCTGTGGGGGCCCCCCCTGAGCTGTGGGGGCCCCCCATGAGGTGTGGGGGCCCCTAGGGGTGGTTAGACTCTGGCGAAGGCGAAGCTTTCGTCAGGGTCTGTGTCTTGGAGGGCAATTTCTTTTTCAAGTTCATTTTCTGCTGCTGCAGCATCGAAGGCGTTTTGCTGCAGCAGATCTTCTTCGAGGTCTTGGGGCAATCCAAAACCCCTTTCTTCTCCGAAGAGGTCCCCGTCGCCCTCCGAGTCCACCTCGCCCTCGTCTGCGCCCGCACGCAGGGTTTAGGGTTTAGGGTTTAGGGTTTAGGGTTTGGGTGGGCGGCGGTGCGGAGGGTCACCGGCGCGGAATTGGCTCGCTGGCGCGCGGAAATGGAGTTTAAAAGGCGGAAATGGAATTAAAAATGGAAAATAAATTCAAAATTTAATAAATTATTTCATTTTTAATTATTTAAATCCACAATTCCGCATTTTAAACCCACCAATGCCCTTCACCCCCTCCGCCTCGTGGGGCTCCCCCGCGTCCTCCGGCGGCGGCGACTTCGCCGCCGCCTCCGGCTGCAGCCGTTCTGCACTTTCCGGACTTTCTTCTGCGAAAACAATTCAAAATAATTCAAAATAATTCAAAATAATTCAAAATAATTCAAAATAATTCAAAACAATTCAAAATAATTCAAAATAATTCAAAATAATTGAACTACACCAACGGAAATGCACGCGCTGCGCCCACTGCGTCGAAACAACCTGCTCAACACCCCCGACCCGCCCCAAACCCTAAACCCCAAACCCTAAACCCTAAACCCTAAACCCTAAACCCTAAACCCCAAACCCCAAGCCCAACGGCTCGAACCCCCAGCGCGAAGCCTCCCGTGCCCGCCCGTTGAGCGCGGTCGCGCCTCGCGGCGGAGCCGCCCCCCAGCCCCCAACCCCTAAACCCCAAACCCTAAACCCTAAACCCTAAACCCTAAACCCTAACCCCGTTCCTCGCGCGCCGCAGCGTCCTGCTTCACCGCGGCCCCGCAGCCCGCACTGACACAGACGTAGACGAGAGTCATGGCGTCTTCTGCGAGGCGTTCGGGAAGTTGAAAGAAGACAGCGCCGCGGGAGCCGCACTGCGGGCAGCGCCAGTCCGGCACGCGGCCCAGAGTCGGGTCTTGCGGCAACTCCGGACACACCATCAGGTCTTCTCTGCGCACCAGCAGCAGCAGCAGCAGCAGCAGCAAAGGCGGCAGCAGCAGCAGCAGCAAAGGCGGCAGCAGCAGCAGCAGCAAAAAGGCGCGAAAAGCGGAGAAAATGATGCGGAACTCGACGAGAAATCGGGCTCGCGCGCGCGCAAAACCAGGGCAGAAAATGCAGAACGCGGGACAAAGTGCAGGGATTCTCAAGGAAAAAGAAAATAAATCAATTCAAAATGAAATAAATATTCAAAAGGAAACAAAAAGACGCAAAATGATGCAAAAAGACGCGAAAAACAGCCAAGAAAAGCTGCTTTCCGAACTTCAGAAGCTGCTGCTGCTGCGCCTGCTCATTTGCTGCTGAAAAAAGTTGAATTTTCCGGAAATGTCCAAAATGGGGCCATTAGAGACTTCAAAAATTTCAAATTTTATTCAATTATGAAAAATACATTTAATTTAAATGTTATTTGCCTTTTTAATTCGAGATTTCCACAGCTTTCCGGACAAAAACATCAACTTGAAACTCCTACTCCTCACAAAGCTTCCGCCTTTCTTGCCCATTTACCTCTTAAATTTTAAATTGATTAATCGTGAATTAATTAATTTAAATGAACTGCAGATTAATTTAATTCACTCAAAATCAAACTCAAAAAACGGGAAATTCATGCGCAGAACCACAACAGCAGCAGCAGCAACAGCAGCAGCAACAGCAGCAGCAGCAGCAGCACGTGCTTCCAGCCTGTTGTTGAAAGCAGCAGCAAAAGTGCAGCAACTAACTTGGACTTGTAGCTGAAGTTAATTCTTTCGACGCAGTTTTCTTCAAAAGTGCCTTCGGCGTATCTGAAGAAGTCGCAGCGGCGGCACAGAAACTTCAGCTGCTGCCGCTGCCGGTCTTCCTTCGGCTGCAACATGTTGTTGCTGCAGCAGCAGCAGCAAAAGCAGCAGCAGCAGCAACAGAAGCAGCAGCAGCAGCAGCAGAAATGAATGAATTTGAACAACGGAAATATATGAAGAGGGAAGAAGAGCGGGGCGGGGTCTGCGGCAGTGCAAAACTTGCAAAAATGAATCTGCTGCTGAGGGCTCGCGGGCTGTTTCTCTCTTCTGCTGCGCAAATTTGGGGCTTTCTTTGCATGCACTTTTAAAATTAGTTATTTAAATTCAATTAAAAGGGTTTTTAAATGCTGAATTGGGATTTTAAGCGGCAGATCGCGCGGCGAGGCGACTCACCATTCAGGGCAGAACATCATTCCCGCGCTCATTTTCGCTCCTCCCGAAATTCCAAAGACTTCTTTTAAAAAGAAAAATGTTCAAAATTAAGAATTAATTCTTTTATTTGCGCATTTCTTTTTTGTTTTAACTCCAGACTTGAACGGATAGAAGGAAAGCAGCCCGAAGGAGCGCCGGGCGGGGGCGCGCAGGCCCGGCCAGCTCTCCTCTTCTTGCGAACTTTTTGCTTTCTTTTCCAAACTCAGTTTAATTTCATTTAAATTCTTTTAATTCCACTTTTCAATTCGCCAACTCCAAACAGCTGCTGCAGCAGAAGGAAGCGGCGAGAAATTGGGGCTGCATGCGCTATCGGCGCAAAGCTGCAGGCATGCTCTTCTTTTCTTCGAATTACACTGTTACTGAGCCATAATTACATTTTTATTCAATAATTATCATTTAAAACATATTTATTAATGTTATTATCACACTTTCAGGCACATTTGTTGGTACTTTCCCTCAATATTCTCACTAGGATGTTGCTCCAATAAGCAGTGGATTATCCTAATAGACATTCTAGAAGCCATTTGCTGCTGCGCAGCAGATGAAGTTTCTGCAGCAAGAATTGCTCTGCAGCAAAAGTGTCTCAGTCTGAAAAAAAGAAATTAAAAAGAAAAAAAGATTTGTTTGGAATTTGAAAAAATAGAATTTGTTTCAAATAGGAAAAGTAGGAAAAATAGGACTTCTTTGTCTCGTTTTTAAATCTTGAATTTACTTGCTTTTCTTGAAAGTGCAAAAAGTCTTATGTGAGTTCTTGCAGGGGCAGCAGCAGCTGCTGCTGAGGCTCTAAACCCTAAACCCTAAACCCTAAACCCTAAACCCTAAACGGTCACAAGAAAAGCAGGGATCGCGCTAAGCAAAGAAGCTGCTGCAATGCGGCAATTTCGCAGTTTTACAAGCTCATACAAAACCCTAAACCCTAGAATTAGGGTTTGGCGACTAGGGTTTAGGGTTTGGGCTGGAAGCAGCAGTTTCAGCGCAGTTCGAGCAGCAGCACTGAGAAGCCACAGAAGAACAAAAAAATAAAAAAGAAAATAAAATTAAAAAACAACTTTTTCTTTTTTCCGAAAAGATGAACTTTTCAAAAAAGAATCCACAGGGATATTCTAATTAGCTGAATCTGGAAATATTCATTCATTTCAAAATCTTCACATTTCATAAAATGTCAGCTGCTGCTGCTGCACGAGGCGAACACTGAGCAGCAGCAGCAGCAGCAGGAGTAGCAGCAGCAGCAGCAGCAGGAGAGGCCGCAGCAAAGGCTGCGGTGGCAGAAGCAAAAGCATCACCTTGTCGCCTTTTGCTGCTGGCATTTTCGGGCTGCTTCAGCGCAGAATGCATGCGTTGCTGTTGCTGCTGTTGCTGCAGCTGCTGTTGCTGCTGCTGCTGCTGCTGCTGAAAAGCAATGTTACTTGCCGTTGTTGCAATGTCCCGTTGGCTCACCTAGCACCTGTGTCAGCTGCAGGCACTAGGGTTTAGGGTTTAGGGTTTAGGGTTTGCAGCTTCCTGAGGGTTTAGGTTTAATGCCAAAACGGAAGCAGAAAGCCCTTCGCCCGCAGCTATCTGCGAGGGTTTAGGGCCTAAGTCTAAGCTCTTTCCCCGCAGCCCCGGGCAGCGAAGGCAACAGCAGCAGCAGCAGCTGCAGCAGCAGCAGCTGCTGCTGCTGCTGCTACCGCAGCAGCAGCTGCTGCTGCTGCTCCCGCAGCAGCAGCGGCAGCAGTGGAGGTGGCGCTGCGAGTTGGAGCTGCTGCAGCTACAGTTGCTGCTGCCTCGAAACCCGCAGCAGCGTGTTGCGGTTGCGCAGCAAGAATGCGGGGTGGCTGCTGCGTTGCTGCTGCTGCTGCTGCTGCTGCTGCTTCTGCTGCTTGCTTGGCGGCAGCAACTAAGATCTGTGGCATTATGAGGGGCCCCACAGCTCAGCTGCCTTTTGCTGCAGCCAGCTGCAGCAGCCCCACACAGCCGCAGCTGCGGACCTGGCAGCAGTTGCTTGTGCTGCAGCGCAGCAGCTCGCTGGCAGCAAAGCTGCAGCTTTCTGCTGCTGGGGTTTGGACTGAAGAGAGCAGCAGCAAATCAGTTCGAGCAGCAGCAGCAGTTCTAATATCTCGTCATTGAAGTTCTTTTCGGGTGTCTTTGTGCAGCAGCAGAAACAGCAGCTAAAAGACCAAATTCAACTTTATCTTTTTATTAAAGATTCTCCCCTTCTTTGCCCCTAGACCAAACAAAGAGCAGCATTTTGCTGCTTCCAGCGTGGCTGTGGGGCCCAGAGCGGCTGCGCTGCTGCTGCTGCTGCTGCTGCTGCTGCTGCTGCTGCTGCAGCTGCAGGCTGAAGCGGGCTTAGGAGCAGCAGCTGGCGGGAGGGCTGTGGAGGGCCCGGAGAGCCGCCGGGACTTCAAAGAAGCAAAAAAGACTTCAAATATTTTTTCAAAATGGCGGAGTTTGGAGTTGGTGGGGAAGCTGCAGCAGAAATTGGCAGCAGCAGCAGCAGCAGAAATTGCGCAGTTGCAGTTCGGCTGCTGCTGCGGCGTCTCGTGGGCTGATCCGCGCGGGCGCGGCACTTTGTCTGCCAGTTTCTTCTTTAATTTTTTGAATTCTGCAGTTCAAATGAATTTAATTTGCAAAAAGTACCATTAAAGGCGTTGAATTCAACGAATTTGGGGGGGAGCAGCGAGCAGCAGCAGCAGCAGCAGCAAGCCCTTGCTGCTGCTGCTGAACTGCTGTGCTCGTGCATGTGGCTGCGAGCCTGCTGCTTCGGCGGGCTGCGGGCTTTTGGACACTTTGTTGCTGCTTTTTTGTTTGCCAACAATTCAGATGAAATGGAACTTTGAAAGGAAAAACTTGTAGCAGCAGTTCCACGAAAGAAGACAAAACGAGCAGCAGCAGCAGCAGCAGCAGCAGCAGCAGCAGCAGCAGCAGTCGCTTGCAGCCGTTCGTTTGTGGCGGCGAGAGCGACGGGGCGGCGGCGGCGAAGTCGTCCGCTCTTTTGGTTTAAATTTAAAAAGAAGTTGCAATCCGCTGCTTTGCGTAGCTGCGTTTGCTGCTGCAGCAGCAGCAGCAGCAGCAAGCTGCTCCTCTGCTGCTTCTGCTGCTCAACTCTCCGGCCAAAACTTTGACTTTTTTGTTAATTTGAATTTTACGCAAAGTCGCGCTGGGATGAAGCCGCGGAGTGTCTGCGCAGACACCCCAGTCTGTGCAGCAGCAGCTTCCCGCCGGGGCCCTTCAGCTTTCCGCACAAGTCCACTAGCCAGGTAGAGCAGCAGCAGCGCCAACTGCAGCAGCAGCAGCAGCAGCAGCAGCAGCGGCAGCAGCAGCAGCAGCAGCGCCAGCAGCGGGAGCCTTCCCGGAGGCGAAGCGCGTGTAGTAGCGGCATCGGGTCTGCCTGCAGCTTGCGGAGCAGCGGCGGCAGCAGCAGCAGCGGAAGCAGCAGCAGCAGCAGCAGCAGCAGGAGCAGCAGCAGCAGCAGCAGCAGCAGCAGCTTGAGTGGATCAGTTGCTGCTTCTGTCTGCGTTGGTGATGGGCTTTGCTGCATGCGGGAGTGAGGCTTGAGAGCTGCAGCAGGGCCTCCGCAGCAGAAGTCCGCCCCTGGCCGAAGCCCTTCCTCCGCTGCTGCTGCTGCTGCTGCTGCTGCTGCTGCTGCTGCTGGGATGGCGTGGGAGGCGCTGTGGGCGAGCAGTTGCGGGTGGCGGCGGCAGCTGCTGCGGCTGCTGCTGTCGCTGCTGCTGCTGCTGCTGACGATAGTCTGCATCAGCATGGTTTCGATAGCAGCAGATTCTTTTTACGACCCTTTGCTGCAGCCGCCGCTGCGGGACCGGCTGCACGACGAGCTGCTGCAGCGGCGTGCTGCTCCTGCGTGGCTTGCTGCTGCAGTGGACTTGTGCACGTTTTGCTGCGTCTTCAGCACGCTGCTGCGGCACCTGCTGCTGCTGCCCTTTCCCCACAACCTCCAGGTCCTCAGCCGCTGCTGCTGCCTCATTGCTGCTGGCTTCTGGATTCGTGCTGCTGCTATTATTGTCACAACAGTTCCTGCTGCTCGCGCTGGCTGCTGCCCGCGGCGGCCGCGGGGCCCCACAGACTTCTTCAGAGAAGTGCTGAAGCAAAGTCTTGGCCAGAATGTGGAGTGCGCAGGAATGATTATTTCCGGACACTCTTTGAATTTGCTGCACTGCTGCATGTCTTGGGCCTTCTACGGCCGCTGCAGCAGCAGCAGCAGCAGCAGCAGCAGCAGCAGCAGCAGCAGCGGCGGGGCGGGGGGGGGCGCGCGGCGGCGCCGCTGCTGCGGCGGCGCTTGCTGCGGCGGCTGCTGCAGCGACGTCCGCTGCAGCGCAGCAGCAGCAGCAGCAGCAGCAAAGCCCCTCGCCGGCTGCTTCCTCCACCAGTGCTTCCTCTTCGTGAAGACTTGGCTCCGCCTCCGCAGGGAGGGCTGCAGCAGCGCAGCAGCAACAGCAGCAGCCCGCTGCTTCTGCCCGCAGCAGCTGCCCCCCGACGCCACGGCTGCTGCTGCTGCTGCTGCTGCTGCTGCTGCTGCCGAGGCCGCCGCGGGGGCCCCCCCGCGGCCGCGCCGCCGCAGCGGGCCCCGCAGCAGGCTGCGCACCCTGCTGCTGCTGCTGCTGCAGCTGCCGCTGCTGCGCTACTGCTGCTACAGCTTCTCCGTGGCTCTCTGGATTGCCATTCCTCTCTGCTACAACCACTACACTGTTGATGTGCTGCTGGCGCTGCTGCTGGGCTTTTGTCTCTGGCTAATTTACCACTTGATTCTCACGGTGGCTCTTGTGCAGAAAAAGGGGCTGCAGGGGCCCCCGGGCGGCTGCAGCTGCGGCTGCAGCAGCAGCAGCAGCAGCAGCAGCAGCAGCAGCGCCGCCAAGGCCTGGCGCAAGGAGCCCCAGCCGCTGCAGCTCCGCAGCAACGACTGGAAACGCGCAAAGACGGACTCCGCCGACAGCTGCGCTCTCGTGCTGCCCGTTGCTGCTGCTGCTGCAGCAGGAGCAGCAGCAGCAGCACCGCCGCGGAACGCCCGCAGCAGCAGCGCGAAGGCAGCAGCCGCGCTGCAGCTCTGCGACATGCACAGAGACACGGCCCCAGAAAGCGGCAGCAGCAGCAGCAGCAGCAGCAGCAGCAGCGAGGGCGATCGGGACCTCGAAAACGCGCAGCAGACCACCGCTGCTGCTGCTGCTGCTGCTGCTGAGGGCGAGGCAGCAAAGTGCAGCTGCTGCTTCGCCAAGGAATTTGCTGCACTCAACCTCGACTGGATCCTTGACTTTCCCGTGCTGCGGCCCCTCGCCTGGTGCATCCGCAAGATGGAAGGCATATAGGTGCAGCAGCTGCTGCTTTGCTGCTGCTGCTGCTGCTGCTGCAGCGGCAGCAGCGGCAGCGGCGGCGTGGCTGCTGCTGCGCGGAAGGGGGTGGGGAGCTTCGCTGCTAGACTGCCGAAGCCGTGGGGGGGTGGGGTAGCTGCAGCAGAGCTGCAGCAGAGCTGCAGCAGAGCTGCAGCAGAGCTGCAGCAGAGCTGCAGCAGAGCTGCAGCAAAGCTGCAGCAAAGCTGCAGCAGAGATGCAGCAAAGCTGCAGCAGAGCTGCAACAGAGCTGCAGCAGAGCTGCAACAGGGCTGCAGCAAGTGTGAAGCAGAGCTGCAGCAGAGCTGCAGCAGAGCTGCAGCAGAGCTGAAGCAGAGCTGTAGCAGAGCTGCAGCAGAGCTGCAGCAGAGCTGCAGCAGAGCTGTGGCGGAGCTGCAGCAGAGCTGCAGCAGAGCCGTAGCAGAGCTGCAGCAGAGTTGTAGTAGAGCTGCAGCAGAGCTGCAGCAAAGCCGTAACAGAGCTGTAGTAGAGCTGCAGCAGAACTGCAGCAGACCTGTAGCAGAGCTGCAGCAGAGCTGCAGCAGAGCTGCAGCAGACCTGTAGCAGAGCTGCAGCAGACCTGTAGCAGAGCTGTGGCAGAGCTGCAGCAGACCTGTAGCAGAGCTGCAGCAGCAGCTTGGGGCTGCTGCTGCTGCCCCGAGGCGCTGCAGCAGAGTAGATGAGTTTTGCTGCTAGGAACTTGTTTGGGGGATGGGGAGGGGCCTCCCGTGCTGCTCAGTAGGGCGCGCTGCTGCCCCCCTTCTTGACTTTTGCGCGGTTTCTCGTGCTGTTGCTTCCAGAGCAGCAGCAGCAGCAGCAGCAGGACTCCGCTGCTGCTGCGCTGCTGCTGGCGGGGCCAGAGGCAGCCAAAGTTGGATGCAAACCGTTTTTTTAAGTCTGGCGCTGAGGCCGTTTCGCGCAGCTCCGGCAGTCCCAGCGAGCAGCAGCACTTGGCTCTTGAGTGCGTAGAAAGAGAAAAGGAAAACAGAAAAAGTAGCGAAAATGTGAATTAAAAAGCAGCAAATAAGAAGTGCAGAAGCTGCTGCAGCGAAACGGCGAGGCGCCGCAGCGCCGCCGACCGGACTTGCAAAAAATTCAAGTTCAAGTTCAAGAACTGGCAAGTGGCTTCGGGGGTGTCAGTCTAGGAGCTGCAACTTGAACAGCGGCGGCAAAGGGCAAAGAAAAACGCAAAGAACGGGAAATTCCACTTAATCGCCGAGAAATATGAAAGTAAAATGCGGAACTGGAGCAGTTCCGGTGTGCGGGTTCGGGTGTATGCGCAGGTCTGCTTCGCGTGCGCAGTTGCGCACAAGCGGTGAGTTCATTTAAATGACATTTTGCAAACGATCTGTGGCGATCTCGGCCTCAGCCGAGGACTACACCGACCCTGCTGCTCAGCAAAATCATAAAAGACCTGAAGGCTGGAATTTCGTTCCCCTTTCTAGTGCCCGTGGCCTGCAGCGGCACCGCGCTGCTGCTGCTGCCGCACCAACCTGCGCAGCGGGAGTTGCGGGTTTGCGACTCGAAGAGCAGCTTTTTTCCAGTTTTCAAAAGCTCTCAGCCGCGAGTTTCCGAAAAACGATCCACTGATCTCGTTTGCAAGACGCTTCCCTCTCGGCGCGCCCGCCCGCCTCGCGGAAACTTGAATTCTGAAGAGCGGCGGCCCTCGGCAGCCGCGGCGCAGCTGCTTCGGCTGTCTGTACACCGCAATGGTGAGTCTCAGTGCTAAAAGATCGAAGCTGCAGCAAACGAGGTTCGAAATTGTCGGGCTGCGCGCTGCAGCGCCCCTCCCAGAACCAAACAACAAACTCCTGCTGCTCCCGCTGCTGCTCCTGCTGCTGCTGCTGCTGCAGCTGCTGCAGCTGCTGCAGCTGCTGCAGCGGCCGGAGCAGCAGCAGCGGCAGCTGCTGCTGCTCTGGCCGCTGCTGCTGCTCCGGCCAGCAGCAACCCGCGTCGCCCTCTGTCCACAAATGAATTTGCTTCCTGCAGCAGCAGCAGCAGCAGCTGCTCTTCTTCTGTCAGCCAGGTTTGTCCTTTGCTCACTTGTCTAATGGCTCCGCGCTTGCTGCCAGCCACACGGAATCCGGCGCGAGGCATCGAGTGCCTGCTGCTGCTGCTCCCGTAGTGTTGCTCTCAAACTGCTGCTGCAGCGGCTGCTGCAGCGGCTGCTGCAGCGGCTGCTGCTGCTCCTGCTGCTGCTCCTGCTGCTGCTAACTCACGCAACGGGAGACCCGTCGTTGCCGCCGTTGGGGCCCTGGGATTCCCTCGAGGCCTTTGCAGGCAGCGATGGAGAACCTGCGCACACAAAAGCAGCAGCAGCAGCAGCAGCAGCAGCAGCAGCAGCAGCAGCAAGCGATGACGAAGCAGCGAACTGCAGCAGCGGCGGCAGCAGCGCGCGGCCAGCGCGCGGCCGCCCAGCCGCGGGAGCAACAGCAGCAGCTCCGGACCGAAAAGCAGCACCAGCAGCAGCAAGAGCAGCAGCAGCAGCAGCAAGAGCAGCAGCAGCAGCAAGAGCAGCAGCAGCAGCAGCAGCTCACTTCTGAAAGCAGAGAAGAAGATGGCGAGCACAATGAGGATGAGCGAAGCCACGTGGGTAGGCGAGAGGCCCCCCGCAGTTTGCTGCTCGCCGCCGTCGCCGCCAGGCGCTGCTGCTGCTGCTGCTGCTGCTGCTGCTTCGCCCCCGCGAC